AAAACATGTAACTTAATCTAGTTCTACTTTCCACTGCTTCAAAAGGAAGCAAAAGAGATTACAGTATCCCAGAATAGCCCACATCTGCACGTAGAAGAGACTCCAGGGAATTCAGTTTAGGGGCAGGAAAGTTTATAGAAAAGTTGTGGGAGATTTATAGTTCATTTAATTACCTACATGTAATAATATTCTGCTTACTCAGAAAAGCAATTCCACTAGTTTCTTACCTATTGGAGGAAAAAAATAATAATAAAAAGGTACCTGAAGCATGTGATGAGATAGAAAGTTTTCAATATTTTCCCCAGCATATCAGATTTTTGTTATTATCTTGTCATGTTTAAAACTTATTACCACTAAAATTTATTAAAATATATTAATATTGTATTTCATTTTTCCAAATGAAACATACCCCAAGACAGGATAATCTTAGAAAGTCTTTATGAACAGTATCAATAAATTATAGGCAAGACCAATAAAGAGCTTTAGTCTGTGTCATCCTTGTCCTGTATATACAATGCTTTCATGTGAGTGCATGCATAGAACAAATGTATGTGACATTATATAATACTCTAGCTTTGCCAAAAAGTTCACTAATAATATAAGACATAAATCTATATGCAATTAAACATGTTTATCTTTAAGCTACATATTTTTTTCAGGGGAGGAAAAAAGGAAAGCATGGATAATTGACTCTGTTTTTTTTCCAAAACAACTATAATCCTGATTTTTTTAACAAATATTTTTCAGTTTGAAATGCTGAGGTAAGAGTGTCACTAGTGAAATCCTCATTCTTCAGTTATTACTATTTCATGCTTAACTTTATATACACTGACTTGTTTTATTAGCACCAAGAGAGCGCCCAGTATTACGCTTGTACATAAATGTTTGCAGGATTGGGTTTTAAAATGCATCTCTTTAGATTTGGAGATTGTATTTTATTTTGTACTTGGGCATGTTTCTGGGGATGTTATTTAAACTGGGGTTGAGCAATCTAGTGACAAACTTGGGTTAGGAAGTTCTTGGTAGAAAGATGAGAGCTGACTGAAGAACTGCAGATATTGGGAGAATGGACAATGAAATTGCTAGTGAAATTCAGTGCAGAAATATGTCAAGTGCTGCAGATGGAGGGGAAAAAAATCTAATTTTACAAATATAATGAAGGTTCTGTACTTACTGTCATCAGTCAAGAACAAGGTGTTGGGTTATTGTAAAACTCAACAGACTATTACAAACCTCTATGAAGGAAGAGGAAAAACAATAATAAAATACCAGCATCAACAAAAACATGACTATATGGAGCTATTTCTATACAAGAAATGAAGAACAGAAATGAAACAAGACTGAAGAAAAGATTACTAAGGGGGTTCTCAGCTAGACAAAACCATGAATGTCACAGAGAAGGTGAATAGGGAAGGGCTGTTTGCTCTCCAGTCTGCTATCGACTTGGGATGCACCCATGGGGCTATAGCCCAAAGCTGGGAACCCACTCTGGATGCAACCCAGGGAAGCTCTTTTCCAAAGAGCATGGAAGATGCTGATCTTCTTTCATGACTCTTAAGTCCTAGATGTAAAACTCATCAAGGTGTTACACTCACTGCTGATCAGAAGCCCTTGGCTTGAGGAGAACTGTATCAGACCGCATAAGACTCAGAGACCACCTTGGAAAAATCCTGTTTTAGTTCCCTAGATACTTGCTGTTGGCTGCTTAGAAGTGCTAATTTGGCTCAGGCTGCTTATTTTTCTTATGATATTAATTGCCATGCAAACATGCATGTGAATTGCTTAAAATTATTTAACAAAATTCTTGATCCCAGGACCTTACACCCTAGAGCAGGGTCTGCTCTAGGAAACAGCTGCTACTTCACTGTGTGGTGTTTTTTTCTGCATTTTTGCCTTCTGTATGATTACTGCTCTCCCACCCTGTGAGGGATCATAGTAACCTGGCAAAGTTTCTCCATGTATTGGGACCACTTGGACACCTATATGTGGCATGAAGAGGGAAAGATGAATGGCATGAAGGGGCAGGTGTGAGAAATAAGATGGTGGGAAGGAACAAACAGGATGGCAAGTAGGGGGAGGCATGAGAAAGATGGTAGGAAGAAGTGGACATGTGAGAAGATGGTGCTTGGGGACAGGTGTGATTGCTACCTTGGCATCAAGGGGGCACCTCAAGACAGGTGCCTGTCTTAGGGACAGGGTTTAGCAGGAAT